TGCTCTTCATATGACGTCAAATCCAGTGTTCCATGAGAGAACTAAACACATTGAGATTGACTGTCACTTTGTTAGAGAAAAGATACTCTCGGGAGATATTGCTACAAAGTTTGTGAAGTCGAATGATCAGCTTGCAGATATTTTCACCAAGTCCCTCACTGGTCCTCGTATTAACTACATATGTAACAAGCTCGGTACATATGATTTATATGCACCAGCTTGAGGGGGAGTGTTAGAATAGTCATGTAAATAGGAGTAAATAAATAACCCTAATCCAATATATATTAGGAGTAGGACATGTTATGTGTGTATATATATAGAGCTCATTGTAACATATGTTAATACATCAATAATATAATTTCTCCTGTGCTTTCTCACATACACTATCTACAAAAGGCAGTAAAGGAATCAGAAGTTTTTGAACAATGTCAGGAAGTTTTGAAGAATAACTGTCAAGTCAAAGCCTGAGGCAGCAATCTTGAAATTGAAAAAATCGAATCACAACTAGCAGTCACAATTATGCACCTGAGTTACTCCATTAGTCTTGAACTGAAATTTCTGAGGCCACAGCTCATAAAAGTCCTGCAAGACACAACAATTACAAGAATGATCTCCTTTTGAAATATTCTTTTTGCTAGCTAACTCTTAGGTTATGAGAAAAGTTTATGATGGCAGAATTTTTTGGTTCCATTCAAAATGAGATATCATGTAAAACTTTGCACTGATTGGGAGACTTGGTTGCCAGTCTTGTTTCCAGTATCTATGATCCCACATACTTATGTGATGATATATATATTACTATTTTATGCCAAATATAATGTGAAACAACACTACCTGCATTAGCAATACCTGGATAATAACACCTAAAATAACAAAATGCCCTCAAAATAAGTTCCATACTTTAGAAAGAAAAGAAAATTGCGATAGTGTTATTTAAAAATACATAATATTTTTGAATTTGAAGCGTCTTACTAACACTTGTACATCTATTGTAAATACTAAACCAATTTTTGGCTTTGGTGTTACAAAAGTGTAATTGTTAAATACTTGTTCCAAAAAAAAATGTGTAATTGTTAAATTTATGGAAAACCAAAAATGGGAACCCTGAGTTAAAGCGGTGATCACCAAATCAGTCTTCAGGCTTTAAATAGAAATTTCAAGAAGGGCGAGTCTTCATTTTCCATCTTCAAAACCTTAATGGACGCTCTTTTCATTTGCCAAAAAGAAAAAGGGAAATGAATCTTACATAAATGTTTACTAGTACATTCTTAGTTGAGCCAGACTTCTACCAAATAAAAGTCTGAAAGTTCAGAAGAAATGATGAATAGGCCAAAGGTGTCATTGGAAACAAATTTTTATTCACTTTAAACCAAAACATGTTTTGATTTACACATTGTATATCTAACTTATAATACGATGAACCAAACATCCAACAACAAATGAATATGCATTTAAAATCCATTGGATGTTAATAATAGCATTATATCTCTGTATAACCTGTCCATCAATCAAACTACACCTTGTAGCATAATTCACTGTGATCATATAGCATGGAGGAAGGAAATTAATGAGATACAATTGTTCAGGCTGATCAGTTAATTCTCTAATGTTAGTCTGATAGTTAAATAGAGTAGTAAATAACCCTAATCCCATATGTATTAGGAGTAGGACAACAACAACAACAACAACAAACCCAGTTTGATCCCAACAGGTGGGGTCTGGGGAGGGTAGTCTGTACGCAGGCCTTATCCCTACCTAATGCAGGTAGAAAGGCTATCTCCAATAGACCCTCGGCTCAGGAAGAACAAAAAGAAGAAGAGGAAAGCAAGGAAGGAAGAAAGAAAAAGAGAAAAGAAAAGGAGTGAGATAAAGGATAAGTAGTACCAAATAATAGCAGCAGGGAATACAATACCTGAGGCTAACACAACCACATAACGTAATAGAAATCTAAGAATATGAAGGGACATGCATGCTACTAAGACTATCGGTGAACAACTATAAACTACCTACTAACCTTCTACCTTAATCCTCGACCTCCACACCCTCCTATCAAGGGTCATGTCCTCAGTGAGCTGAAGCAGCGCCATGTCATGTCTAATCACCTCTCCCCAGTACTTCTTAGGCCTACCTCGACCTCTACTCAAACTCTCCACNCAGTTGGACATTAAGAATGCTTTTCTTCACGGTGACTTTGAGGATGAGGTTTATATGGAGCAACCACCTGGTTTTGTTGCTCAGGGAGAGTCTAGTGGCCTTGTATGTCGGTTGCGCCGGTCCCTCTATGGTCTAAAGCAGTCTCCTCGAGCCTGGTTTGGTAAGTTCAGCACAGTTATTCAAGAGTTTGGCATGACTCGTAGTGAAGCTGATCACTCTGTATTTTATCGACATTCTGCTTCAAATCTCTGTATTTATCTGGTCGTTTATGTTGATGATATTGTTATTACCGGCAATGATCAGGATGGTATTAGTAAGTTGAAGCAACATCTCTTTCAGCACTTTTAGACTAAGGATCTGGGCAGATTGAAGTATTTTCTGGGTATTGAGGTCGCTCAGTCTAGCTCAGGTATTGTGATCTCACAACGGAAGTATGCCTTAGATATTCTTGAGGAGACAGGAATGACAGGTTGTAGACCTGTTGACACTCCGATGGATCCGAATTCTAAACTTCTGCCAGGACAGGAGGAGCCTCTTAGCGATCCTGCAAGATATAGGCGGTTGGTTGGTAAATTAAATTACCTCACAGTGACTAGACCTGACATTTCCTTTCCTGTGAGTGTTGTGAGTCAGTTTATGGATTCTCCCTGTGATAGTCATTAGGACGCATTTGTCCGCATTCTTCGGTATATAAAATCAGCTCCAGGCAAAGGCTTATTGTTTGAGGATCGAGGTCATGAGCAGATCGTTGGATACTCAGATGCAGATTGGGCAGGATCACCTTCTGATAGACGTTCTACGTCTGGATATTGTGTCTTAGTAGGAGGAAATTTGGTGTCTTGGAAGAGCATGAAACAGAATGTGGTTGCTCGGTCTAGTGCAAAAGCAGAATATCGAGCAATGGCTATGGCGACATGTGAGCTAATTTAGATCAAACAGTTGCTCAAGGAGTTGAAATTTGGTGAGATTAATCAGATGGGACTTGTGTGTGATAATCAAGCTGCTCTTCATATTGGGTCAAATACAGTGTTCCATGAGAGAACTAAACACATTGATATTGACTGTCACTTTGTTAGAGAAAAGATACTCTCGGGAGATATTGCTACAAAATTTGTGAAGTCTAATGATCGGCTTGCTGATATTTTCACCAAGTCCCTCACCGGTCCTCGTATTAGTTATATATGTAACAAGCTCAGTACACATGATTTATATGCACCAGCTTGAGGGGGAGTGTTAGTTTGATAATTAAATAGTAGTAAATAACCCTAATCCCATATGTATTAGGAGCAGGACATGTATTATATATATATATATAGGGCTCATTGTATCATTGTCAATATTAATCAATAATATTTTCTCCCGTGCATTCTCACATCTAATTTAGACAATTATGCTTTCTCTATCAATCTCTGAAATGAAGCTGAACAAATAACAACAGAAAACATATCTCAAGGGGATAAACACACACACACACATATTCTTTAGAAGGAAAAAAAAACCTATTAAAGCGAATTGGATAGAAATCCTAGGACAACACCCTCTGAAACAGGCCTTACAGAGTGACATTTATTTAGTGAAGGATACATTGCTGCAGGCTTGAAATCAAGTGCTCATGAAATATTGGGCAAAAGAGAAAAATCAGAAAAATGCAGAATCCAAATTACCTTGAACACTCTTGTTTTAAGCGTCTCAAGATGCAGCCTGGAAACGCCATTCACAGTGTGGCAACATGCAAGTGACAGGTTTGCCATCCTAATACACTGTCCATATGAGGAGCAAAATCAAAACTGGCAATTGCAGAAAAAAAAACCAATAATCGAGCTCGTACCCATTTTTTCAATAAGTGAAAGTGGCATAATTCAAGTAATGCATTGTGGGTTGTCAAAAGAATGTGTATCACATAAAATCTAGCTGAAAATAAGAAGTAACAAACCATAAACATTGCAAAACCTTTCCTTTCTTCACTGATATTACTTACTACTATATATTTGGTTTTGGCCTCTCTCCCTCTTGCCCTCGCTCTGTCCTCTTTGTTTAAGTGATACATACATGAGTGATGCAACACAAGCATCACAGAGTTCAAAAAGATAATTGCTGACCCTAGTTATGAATATGGAAATTTGCGGTCTTAGTATTATGGGACATAATATTGGAGTGCTACGGGTTTAAATGAAGCGATATTGTAACTGAGGATTCTATCACCGAGCTCAACGAGCTTGGGATTGAGGAATAGTTATTGTTGTAGTACATTATTGGGATATTTACATGTCACTAGTACAGATTTGTGCTGTTGAAAAACATCATAGTTATTTTTTTAATCAAATAATGATTTTATTAATAAAGAGAGCTCAAAAACAACGCCTGAATACAAGAAGTGTTATCTAAAATAGAACACAAAGGGTTGTCTTCTATACCTTCACAGCACCTTCCTCAATAATTGACATTCGGGAAAGTTTATCATAGTCCTGACCAAGTATCTTTTTTAACTCCTCCATGAGACAATAGTTTATCTCATATATAATCTGGAAAAAAAAGTGAATCATTAAATCAGGATGAAGAGATTTAGTCACAAAATAAACAGATAATCATTCCCCAAATAATAAACACATTAAACAAGATAGCTTTGGTGCAAAAAGGACGACACACTTTACAGCTGCAAGAAAACTTCAACAGGTCTGTGATTTAACCAAAAAAAATATGGTGTAAGTTCTCTACCTTTTGGAATACGGCTTGTGCACAGGGATTCCCCATTATTAATAAAATTACTTACCTTATAGTAAAACAAAAAGAACAAGTAATTTGAGAAGAAACTCAATTAAAAGACTGAAGTTACAGAGACGTGGAAATTTTGACAAATGAACCAAAAACTATGTTCATAACAACAACAACAACAACAACTACCCAGTATAGTCCCACAAGGTGGGGTCTGGGGAGGGTAATACGTACACAGGCCTTACCCTACCCGAAAGGGCAGAGAGGCTGTTTCCAATCGACCCTCGGCTCAGGAAAAGGAAAAGGAAAACAAAAACAAAAAACAAAAGAGCATTAGTAGCTCCAGCAGAAATCACATAAATAATTATCTAAACATAAACCATAAATAAAATGGCATGCAAATATATCGACCAGTAACTACCATAAGGGGGCACAATACAATACACAGATCATCTATGGAGAGCCCTACCAAACCCCCCCAAAACCCAGCCCCGGGACAGAAGTACGAAAAATTCTAGAAGCCCCTATCCTACAACCCTGATACTAGACCTCCAGACTTTCCTATCAAGGGCCATGTCCTCGGAAATCCGCATTCTAGCCATGTCCTGCCTAATCACCTCTCACCAATACCTTTTGGGCCTCCCTCTGCCTCGACTCGCGCCAACCACCGCCAGCCGCTCACAACTCCTCACCGGGGCATCGGGGCTTCTCCTCCGCACATGCTCGTACCACCTGAGCCTCGCTTCCCGCATCTTCTCATCTACTGGGGCCACCCCCACCTTCTCCCGAATAACTTCATTCCTAATCTTATCTAACCTGGTGAGCCCGCACATCCACCTGAGCATCCTCATCTCCACAACCTTCATTCTCTGGACATGGGAGTTCTTCACCGGCCAGCACTCAGCCCCATACAAAAACTATGTTCATACTCTGACGAAATGGTCTGAAGCATTAAGATGTTCAAGCACAGACCAAAAGATTCCTCTGGAAAAATACAAAATCATCTGAAAGAAAACAAACCTCTAAATGCCGAGGAAGAACGCTACCCAGGAGATCTATGGGAACTTTCTCAAGTGCTTCAGGTTGTACCGCGTGAATGGTGACTGAGAAAATCTTGCAAGCAATACCCCATGCTTTGCTCCAATCCAAGTGCTCTTCATCAACAAGCACTCTCATTACCTCAGCAATGGCAATTGACGGATGTGTATCATTTATCTGAAGAGCAACCTGAAGGGAAAAACTCGAAAGAAGAAATTAGCAGATAGTCCATGAGTATTTTGATGTAAAATAAAACCAAGCTTAATATTCCCTGTTCCTTTGGAGATCCTAATCTCTTGCATAAATCATCAACATATGGCATTTTTATGAATCACAGAGAGTAGGCCAACTCAGATTAAGTGTGGCCAACCCAATGGCGACATTCTTTTATGACATACCATCTTTTGCACTGTATCGACTTTGATTTGGATTTCTAGAACGTGAAACATGCAACTGTTTTAGGGAACATGCCCTAATAAATGAGGCTTATGCTTCATGCTACTCCTTTCATACTGACACAAAGTAACCGAAGTCCGTTAACAAACTTTGCTAAGTCTATGCTGAATAGCTTATTTGATTAATAGCATTTCAGGCCAAAATTATCAGTAGAGCAATGAGGAAACAAATATGTGTTTATCTATGATAAGAGAACAAATGCAAGGAGCATGTGACTTGAGCCCATTGTCTGATAAATGCATGAGTTACAGACGCCAAAAATGCCCATAATACCTTCTCTGGAAACTCATCAAAGTTATTATGTAAATCCTTAAACCTCCTTATTATGTCTTGTAGTGATGCTGAAACAAAGAAATACTGTTGCTTCAACCGCAGTTCCTTACCCTGAAGAAAGACCATCAAAGAAAGTTATGGAATATGCAAATCAAAATGGTCAGAGTACACATAAGGAAGACAAAAAAGGAAGAAACCCCAAAAGTAGTATCCTGCAGAACATATAATTAGATAAAGGATACCAATTAGCATCTAAAACCAATTGCGAGTGAACTTCAATTCATTATCTCCGTTGATAATAGTCTGTTCCATTTGCATCTATAAACGGTATTTCCTCATCATCATCTCATACTGTTCTTACTTCATTCAATATCATTTGTAGGCGTAAAGTTGTTCTTACTTCATTCAAAATCATTTGTAGGCGTAAAGTTATGGTACTGTTATACTGTACAGTATACCCATTTATTAATTGAGATTATATGAACTACTAGCCACTCTTAATGCTTGGGAATGAAATGGCTTCTCCCAGTTCATGAGGCCCCTTCCCAGCCTCCAAGAAACTAAAGGAACTCTACACTTATGCACTTCTTCAAGACATTATATAGAATGGAAATACCTGGTAAGAACGGTCATCAGGATACAGCACATTACTTATGGTTTCAGCCTTCTGTCTGTTAACAATAGCATTAATATAGTCTCCAGTGGTGTAAGACTCCTGCAAGTGATGAAATGGGTACTATGTAGAAGTTAAGAGGTAGTCAGATGTCAAAGTTCACATTAAGACGTATTCTTAAGAAATTAAAAGGGTTCTGATCTGTGCAATACTAGGTGTGATATTCACATTTGACAAAAGAAGAAAGTGCTACCACAATGCAGTCAGAGAAAAGAAACTGGAATAAATTGATTATGAAGTCTATCCCTTCTCAGCCCCTCCCACAGAACAACATAAGAAGGAAAAGCCGCATGGTGAAAGAGAGACCACTGATACAGAAAAAAAAGTCCATAGATTCTTAAAATGCCCAAATTATTTAAGAGTATACAGATAGACCTCAGCTGCATCCCAACAAGACCTCGTCAGAAACATTTATTAGCCAATATTGTCAAAGGTTACCATAATCATATTGATCACTTGGTTTAGCAGCCCAAAGTCGTAGGTTGATGGCATTTCGCGTTCCATAACCAGGTATTGGATTATCATAAGCCACTGCTTCGACCTAAAAGTAAACGAACACGCTAGTCATTCGGCAACATTACATGCAATTAGTCTAAATTTGTAGAAAAAAATGACTAATTAAATACAGGAGCACTTACTGATTCTGCAGGTATCCAAACTCTACATGTTTTTCCATTTAAAACTTCCTCTTCAACAGTCCCATAGAACTTGCATACAAAGCAAATTTCCAGTTAGCAACATGTAGATGTTTCACTCAAGAAAATTGAAGAAGATAACATCATATGCACCCCAAACTAAAACGACAAAAGAAAACATCTCGTTTGGATAAATTACTGACAAAGACGGAAAATTAAATACTTTCAAACCTTTACTGGATAAGACACATGAACACGTTCAATCTCCCAGGGGTTCCCAAAGTTCAACCAAAAATCAGGTTGTTCATGTTGAAAACCATCCACTATGATCTGACGAAATAATCCATATTGATAGCGTAGTCCATAACTGAAGACAAAGAAATGTAGAGGATCCAACTCAGTTGACTTTCTTTAGATAAACGTCACGATGATAAAGGGCAAAATCTTTGAAGAAAAGCGAGACACCATTTTTTTCAGATCGTAGAATTCAGTTTCAGATAGGGAACTCAGTAAATCCAAATCAAAGATCATTTTGGGTTCGAAATCATAACATCATTTTGATTAAAAAGAAAAGGAGTGAAAGAACAATACAGAAAATCTGATCTTAGTATTACAAGAGTGACTATCATCTGGATACGAAAATGCAGCCATGAAGCAGGATGTTATTCATAAATAGGGAAAAACCCAATTCTCCTTGACTGTTTCTACTGTTTAGTATGTTCAGGAAAAAGCGATGGGATTCAAAACCCAAGGCCGTGATGAAGCGAACAATATCAGAAACAAATGATGTTTCGACAATGAAAAGGAGCCTAAACAATACCCCCAAGCTGGGTAGTCCAATGTCGCTAGGGAATCCATTTGGCAAGCTGCAAGGCGAGCTAGGCCACCATTACCAAGGGCAGCATCTCCTTCCTAGTAATGAATGAACGTTAGAATTTAGAAACAGAATCACCAAGGATAACTTATTTAGGGGAGCAACAGAACAGCTAACTGTGAGTAAAGATGAAGATCGAGAAGAAGTTACTCAATTGTAAATGCAAGTGTTCTTCAAAATTAGATCGATTGCCAAAATAATTACCAGTGCTTAAGGATGAATGAGCATCAAGAAGAAAAAAGGGGCAGCCCGGTGCACTAAGCTCCCGCTATGCGCGGGGTCTGGGGAAGGGCCGGACCACAAGGTCCGGGGAATGAGCATCAACAATATTTCATTAATTGTGCAAGGCCGTGTTTATCAATAAAGCTGTCCTATGAATTTGGAATTATTGCATTTTCATTTGCAAGCATTAGCCTATCAAGTCCTTTAAATGTTACTCCCTCCATTACATTTTAGGTGACACTCTTATTTAAATTTCACATTTTACCTTGATGACATCATTTTCCAGATACGTCGTGACATGCTTAAGACCACAGTGTATACAAGTTTTTAGGTCCTTAATCTCCGTACCCAATGAAATACCTTAACATAAAATGAAATGGATGGAGTAGTAAATATTCTAGATTAACTTAAATTAGTACGGAAGTTCAAATGATCCAACGTAACCACTAAAACACTCATTACTTTTTAGTTTGAGAAATGTTACAGGCAAAAAGGAAGAAGCTATAGAGAACCCGAGACAGCCATCAAGAATTGTCCCAACCTGCTCTGCCAAGACTTCATAGTCAAATCCAAGCTGACTTAATGCATCGGCATATTGGTCCTGGATGCCAAGGTTTATGACACTGTTAGTTAGAGAACGACCTGACAGATCAAGTAAAAAAGAAAAACTTAATTAGACAAAACTAAGAGCACTTCACCTTCAGGAAAACCATAAAGACTTCTCTTAACAAGTACTTGTTTCAGGAAGAAAAATATCCACACAAAAAAAAGGCTAGCTGTGCCCCAATTAGATGCAGCAAAGAAAAGGACTCTATGAGCATGTGAATGTCAAGTACCCATAAGAAACTCAAGCGAAAGGAAGTACAGTCGCTTGGGGTCTTTCTTCTTAAAATACTGGTGAGTATCATGCCATCGTTCAATAAGCCGATCCCTGACACTATGCGCTAATGCCTGCATTGTGCAAACTTTATTAGTAACATGCTAAAAGCTACTCCTCCCTCTGTCCCATTTTATGTGGAACACTTTCCATTTCAGTTTGTCCCTAAAATAATGGTACCTTTCTATATTGAGAAACAATAATGTCTAAGGCTTGTCTAAATCACAAGTTTCGAAGTCTAACTTCTTTCTTAAACTCCAATCCACAGTCAAATAATGCCAGATAAATCGGGAAATGGTAGTACCTGGTAAGCTTCAAAATCATCAAAATTGAATCTTGATCGAGCAACAGTAAATTCAACATGATCAAGAATATCTTTTTGTAAACTAACTGCATCATTTTTCAAGAACCCATCCATTAACCCAAACATCTTCTCTGCTTTCGCTTTCCTCTCTCCTAAGTTCAACCCAGCTTTCCTCACAACCACTCCTCTCCCACTAACCACCGCCACAGACGGCGATACTCCGCCAGTATCAATAGCTTCCTTCAATGCCTTCTGAATCTTTTCCAAATGTTCCGTTTTCTCAATCTTCATACCGTTAGAATCACTGACGAAAAACTTGTTCACGAAAAACTCGCCTTCGAATTCAACAATGGCCTTTTGAATGGTGAGCCCGAGGACTTTGAATACGCGGGTGATGATTTGGAGAAGGCCAATTCGGTTCTTGGCCCGAATAACGAAAAGGGTGGTGTCTAAAGCGTCGTCGTTTTGGACATTGATGGTAGAGTAGTCAGAGGTTGTTGTTTCAGTGATGGCTTGGTTAGAAGAAGTACTACTATTATTTGAGACTGTTAAATGGTTGAAGCTGCAATTGGAGGAGAGTGAAGTTGAAAAGGGACGGTTGAGATTAAAGAATGAAGGGAAAGGGCGGTTGGCTTGAGGTGATCGAAGGGTGAGGAGAGGAACTGAAATGGCAGCCATTGCTATACAGTTAGAAGAAGGTTGGAGGCCTATAGAACTCAACTGCAGTAGTAGTACATCACGGAAAAAGAATCACGGGAAAAGGTGGACAACTTTCTATAATTGGTTCACTGAATATGGTTTGATTCTCAAGTCTGAACTTTGATATCTGAATATAATTTTATGTATTTAAAATTAAACTTTTACCTTTAATAAAATGATTTACAAGTTACAATCATAGAAATATTTGCAGCTTCTTTATATCATAAATTTTAAAAGTCTTGTCTTTTTTAAATTTTAAATTTTGTGTTTAATCAAAAGATGCCACATAAATTATAATGAAGAGAGTGACATGGAGTGCAAGAGATAATTGAACACTGCAAATACACTAGTTCAACTTGTTACCTATAGGACAATGGCGAGGATCGAACAAAAATGTTGTTATATAAGAGTTACATCAATACTAAATATCAATACTAAGAGGGTGTTTGGCTAAGTTTATAAGTTGGTCAAATTAGCTTAGAAGCATTTTTCGGCTTATTTATGCGTTCAGTAAAGTTAAAAGTGCTTATAAGTCAAAAATAAGTCATAGAGGGTGTTTGGCTAAGCTTATAAGCTGGTCAAACTGGCTTATAAGCACTTTTTGGCTTATCTACGCGTTTGGTAAAATTAAAAGTGCTTATAAGTCAAAAATAAACCAAAAGTCATAAGTTGGTCTCCCTCAGCTTATCAAATTTCAGCTTATAAGCACTTTAAGTTTGACCATATTATTTACTATTCTATCCTTAAAATACTTCTTTTTAAAATAAAACTCTTCGTATACCCGGTTCTTCAGCTGCATATTATTAATTTCAGCACTTTTATCCAAACACGTAACTGCTTATTTTTTAAATCAGTTTCAGCACTTAAAAGTGCTTTTCAGCACCTAATGCTTATCCGCTACTCTAAATCAGCTAAGCCAAACGGGCTCAAAAGCCATAAGTTGGTCACTCCCAGCTTATGAATTTTTAGCTTATAAGCACTTTAAGTTTGACCAAGATTTTTACTATTTTATCCTTAAAATATTCTTTTTTAGAACAAAACTCCTACATCGATATTCACTACCTCAAGTATTCAACCTAACCCCCCACCCCACCCCACCCTCCCCCCTCCCCACCTATTCAAGTTTGCAATTCTTATTGACTATTTAAGATAAGCAAATTCTCTATTCATTTCCATACTTATATCTATGTGATTGAAAATAAATCTTTGAACTGTATGTAATAAATGAGGACGTATCAAATTTTCGGTGTATTGCTTTCTAAGTGTTGTGGTGATGAAAACAATGTTTGTTTCTCTTCAAATAATTTGTCCTATTTAGGTTTATCAATTTATTAATTATTATAACTTATGATTATATGCTTATCATAAAATAAATTATATTTATCATAAAAATTATCTTATCTAAGCACAATAGCATTTAAAATAAAATGACAAGTAGAATATTTTGTATTTGAATCGATTTGGAATCTAAAATTTTGAAGAAATTACGCCCTTATAAGTGTAAACAGTTCTAAGGTTATTTAAGTTATTTTAACCAAAAAAGAGCTTATCAGCACTTTTTTATCAAATACTGTAGCAACTTATTATCAATTTCAGCACTTGTACCCAAACACGTAACTGCTTATTTATTAAATCAGTTTCAGCTATTTCAAATCAGCTAATCCAAATGGGCTCTAAAAGTAAATCAGAAGATAGTTAAAAATAAAAATAATTCAAATATTCATGATGGCACGTTTACAGATCCCGAGGGTTTATGCGGATTTATATAAACTACTCTGACCAATTTAGTGTTGCCAAAAGGTGATGGCTTTTATATGCATATGCGGATTCAGGATTTAAACCCTATGAATTTAACTTTTAAAATATTTAGCATTGAATTTATTATAATTTTAAAATTATGAATTCATATTTACTATTTATTTTAATTTGAATAAATTTTACATAAACTTATGCTTCGCATAAAAAATTATAGGTCAGTTGAATCCGTAATTATAGTGTTAAATTCGCCTCTAAATTATGCAAAGGCTTTCTTGAGATCTTGAATGAAAGTGAGAAACAGTAACTATAATTTATGTGAGAAACGATTGCATAATTTAATCAACTCGAAAGACTACATGGACATGGTAGAAGTTGGTTGGTTCCCAATATATTTTGAAAAACGAAATATCACATGTTCATCAAAACTAAAAAGATACATTTATTGGCACTTGATAATAGGTGAATTTGACTATAATCACACCTTAAATAATCACCTTCTTGTGTAGTTTTAATGCTAAAAGTGATGACAAAATGCTCTTATTAGTGCTTTTCATGATTTGTAGGTGATATATGTATAAAGACGGTTAAGGAGCCGTTTTGGAGTCAAAAGTGATGAAAAAGAGGCCAACTGTGAAATTTCCTAAGTGACCCGTGCAAAAACAGGCCGAGGATTCAGAGAACTGGATCCACCGCGGTTCCACCGCGACCGCGGCAGAACCGCGGTGGGAAGCAGCTGCAGAAGTTCAGAGATTCCGCGAGGGTGTTTGGCCGCGGTTCTACCGCGACCGCGGCAGAACCGCGGCAGGCGCAGAAACTTCTGGGACCAAAGTGTCAATTACGGGATTTTTAGACCTAAACCCTATTTAAAACATTAGACTTTGCCCAAGAGAGGCATGTATTGATTTTTTAGGTTTCTTAGCAAGGAAAACAATTGGGAGAAAGTACTCTAAACATCTTTCCTCTTTGCTTTTGATTTTATGATGAATTCAAGCTTAGTTTATTTTCCCATAGTCATGAATAGCTAAATTCCTCGTCTAAGGTGTTGATGGAACCTATTGGGTGATGAACTTCTTGTTTATGTGAATACAAATTGCTAGTTTAATCTTTATTTGTTCAACTTCGTGTTCGTTGTAGTTAATTGACAGGATCCTCAATTAGCTGTGTCTATTTAGTGTGCATAACTTGGAAAAGAGTGCATATTTAGGGTATTGTTGAACAACACCACTCCTAGATTATTAGAGGAATCTATAATTGCGGGTTTAAAGGCGGGATTAGGAATAACAAAGCCTTGGGTGCAATCTAAATTGAATTGTGCTAAATAAAGTAAGCTAGTGTATCTCGGGAGAGTGCAGTAGTAAATTACTGTGATTACTCGGGAGAGATTTACGGTAAGATTAGCGTTCATGATTGATAGAGATGTGTGGGTAAATTTGTATGAGCATAAACAGAAGGGATTCCATCAATAGGGGAAATCATTGCCTTAGCTTTTTCTCATAATTGTTCACAGCCTTTATTTTTTACTTAGTTACGGCCATTTAGTTATTTGCAAGCTAGTTATTAAAGAACACTCAACTGAGATTTGAATATTTGGGAAGCTGGTTCTGAAGACTTAGTGGGTCTGAAGATAGCGGTTGATAGGTTAACTCTCTGTGGATTCGACCCTGGGCGTAATACTCGAGTTATAATTGCAACGTCCGCAAAGTCCTTTTTATAAGGCATAGTTGGGCATGACCAGCACTTTATTTGCGCAACTTCCATAAATTCTTAGAATTTTTCCATTTTTATGCATAATATTTTTCGAATTCCTACTGGTCAATTCAAACTAATTTTTTTTTGGTATGAATGATAATATTGCATTAACTATTGAGAAAGGTTGCTACAGAAAGGGTGATGCGTAGGGTGCATCACATTAGTAGAGCTAGTTTGTTGACTATTACAACTACGATCATGAAATAAGTTTGTACAAAATGAGGGCTAGCTGATCATTAGGCAAAACAAAGTTTTGTTCTATAGTAACTCCATTGGTAGCTGTAGAGACAAGTCTATCGTTGTGTGCAGCAAAAAGTGTTGTTGTAGTTTCCATGTCTATGGCCTGCTCAGTTCGAGTTTGTTTCACCTTCTTATATTGTATTGCTCATGAATGATCCTATTGTAAGTTGTTGATAACAAAAACAGGTGGCGAGGCAAAAACAGTTGGTGTCATAGTCGGTGCCATCGAACAACCTTCCTTGGCTAATCTATCTGCCACCCTCATTCTCCTCTCTGTAGACATGTGTGATTGTTACATTATGCAGCTGGTCCAGGAGGTGCCTGCAGTCAGAGATAATATTAGTGTAATGCATGTTATCGTTCTGTATAATTGTTAATTCCTTAGACGCGTCAACGTTCACTTCCAGTGGAACCAAATGATGATGATATGCTAATTCCAACCCATGAAAGAGTGCTTGTAATTTCGCATGTATGCTGTTAGTGGGGGAGATGTATCCCGCAAATCCGATGATCCAAGTCCCTTAAGAATCACAAATGAGCCCTCTTATACCTACTTTGGTGGTAACTAGTGAGGCTGCTCCGTCAGTTTTTGAAATAATTTGGTTTTGAAAGAATCCATTTTATAGGCACTAGTATGGGGTTGTAATTTGGTTTTAGATTGGTAGCCAAGTAAGTAAATTCTAGGCTTGATTAGTGACATGTTTGGGGTATATTTGGTGCTGAAAGTGATTAAAATTATTGTAGTTTCGAGTAAGCCAAATGCTCCAAATGTAAAGGAAATGAAAGTTTGATGGTTAATTTTATAAGGCATGGGATTTCTTTTATCGTAAAATAGAGGTATTAACCATTGCGACGGTTGGGAAATCCTATTGATATTGTTAATAACATGATTTAAGCCGAATTGTGTCCACAAGGTTTGTACGTTTGAACAATATAGGAAGATATGATTAATTGATTCGGTGGTGTATTTACAAATTTGGCAAAGATCATCTAAAAGTATACCAATATGATGCAAGTATTGTCGTGTAGAGAGACGATTGTGCATGAGTAGCCACAAAAAAAAAGATTTAATTTTTGGGGTTAACAGAATTTTTCAAATCCATGCATATGGAGGTATGTGTGTTGTGCTTGGTAGGCACTGGCGTAATAGGACAATGTATATTGATTGGACTGTAAATTGACTATGATGAGTTAATCCCCAGTAGATAGTATCAAAAATGTTGGTGTAGATAGGCACATAGAGTTGTTTAATATTAACTTAATATTTTATGGGAAATTGAAAGAAAATTTTCCCCAATCTCAATCAGTGTTTGTCCTGTAGGTAGATATAGTATTGCTTAGTTGGTTGAAAGGCAAA